AAACCCCCCCCCCCCCCCCCCCCCCCCCCCCCCCGGGTTCTTGGGGGACAGCTCAAGGGCCAATAGACTATACAACTGGAATGTAGTGTCATGAGCCAGTAGACGCAAAGAAACAGCCATCTGCCTAGGCGTTGGTGACCAGAGTTACCCGGTATCCATAGGTAGCAGTACCCCGTGGAGTAGTCGAGGTGTGCACAAGCTGGTACTGACACCTCTATAATTGACCCCCCAAATGAATTGTGCCACTCTAACTTTTTTAAGGGGCACTCTGCTTTTTGCAAATTACAAAGCTCAGTTGCTCATCCAAATCCTATGCCTAAGCATAATGGTGTTCCAAGTGGGAGTTCCTGTCTACAATTGCTAAGACCATATAGAGATATTCACATGTAGAATCTTTTGGATGCATTAATTAGATATACTACTTCCAACAATAGTAGTAAGTTTTTGCATTCAATATTCAGTGTTTGATTTTGTTAAGTTGATTTGCTTGTTTTTTTTTTCCCTCAAAAATTCTGAATAGCTTAAATTTAATGCTTGCAATGCCTCTTGTGTGGATTTCATAATAAATTTCTGCTTTGTTCTCCTTTTAATTCTTAGATCTGCTATGGGCATGCATTAATTGAGGGTCCCGTTGGAGTTAAGTTGAGTGGTTGCTAGAAAGGTAGTGGTTGCTATGTTGGTTTTGTTGTGACCATTAGGGCCTATGACCTTCCTGGAGATATCGAAGCCCTTTTATTGGTATTGAGGATTTCGTTCATATTGGTTTAAGAACATTCTAGAGAAAACATGCTAGCAATATCAGGGTACAATTAATGAAATCAGCTTTTATATGAAGTCTAGTTCATATAAGGAGAACGTAATTGACATTTGGTAGATGCTTAATGTAGTTTATTAAATGTTGGAAGACCTGATAATTTTGACTTCCGCATACTTGGGCATGGATTTCAAGCAGGTGTTTTTTAAATTCACAAGCTTTTGGGACCTCGACCACTTCCTTTTCTAGTTCGCACAATTATGAGCCTTTAGTGAGGTCAAAGGAACTCCAGAATTGTCCTTCAGGAATTACATTGTGCATGCTTCCTAATGCATCTAAGTTCAAATTGTCATGTTGTAGCTATTATACTTTTGGAGAGTTTTCGCGTTCTTCTCGTGTCCTTTGGTGATTGCGGAATGGAGTCATAGATTTTCAGCACTATGGTTTTAACAAAATTATGTGGCATACTGATATTTTAGCTGCTTTCTCTGCAATTTTTTTTGTTCATATATTGTTCATGAGTATTTTTCTTTTTTGTCCAATTATTTATTTTTCCTGTTTGGCTTTCAATCTACCTACGAGCAGGAGAAGGGTCGACCACTGCCTAAGTTTGGTGAATGGGATGTCAATGACCCAGCGTCAGCAGAGGGATTTACTGTGATTTTCAACAAGGCCAGGGATGAGAAAAAAACTGGTGGCAAGCCAGAGTCACCTTCAAAGGCTGATGGTAACACAAAGCAAGGAGAAGAACCATTAAAGCCTCAAACTGTACGTTATTTCAATAGTTTTGGAAATGTGTAGATTCTATTACCTATTTACTCTTCCGTTGGTTTAAATGTTAAATAATTCTGCGTCTTGCTTTTCTTTACACATTTAACGTGAAATACATTAGCTGTGTGAATCTGCATCTTTACAGAGAGTTTTTTCCATTCAGAGGATAATTCAACTACAAATAGGTGAAATCCCATCCCACTCTACGGCCCTCTCAAACAGTTGAAGGACTTAAGTTGGCCTAATTGATATATTATCTCCACCAACTAAGCCATCTCTGGCTATCTTCAGTTGTCTCATATGTTTAGAGTATTGTGGTTGTGATTTAGTGAATTGTACATGCAAGTTTTATCAAATAAAATTTCCGTCACATGGTATAATTATCTCTTAAGAATAATTTGATTGATCAATGCAAAAGGTTGAGCTTAATTAGTTGAAGATCCACAGCTCATCTCTTGATACACAGAAAATTGGGTTTCTGTTGGTTAACACCCAGCCATGTGGGTCCCCTTCAATTTAGATGACCGGAGAAAGAGTAAAGATAAGCTAAGGTGGTGCAATTCTTATTGATTCCCATACAATTAATTATTTCACTTATTATTGCCTTCTCTTTAGTCCAAGGTGACCTAATAAATTCAAAAACCCTTTTGCAGCTCTTAGAAGTAGGATTGAGAACTTCCCTCCAGTTGTGAGCATAATTAGTTCTTGCTGGACTGTGGTCAAATCATATGTCCTGGTTATATTGGAAGGGTTCCTGGAGTTATGTCTCTCTTTTTTCTTTTGGGTAAAAGGGAAAAGTGTATTGGAACCAGAGCACACATAATTAGGGAAACTAGTACTTGATCAAAAAGATTAGAGAAACTAGTATGTACAAACCCATGATTACTTACTCTCAGCCAATTGTCAGGTCAAACTTAACTCTAAGTGGAACTTTCCTTGTAAGCATAGGTTTAAAACCATGATTAGGGAGCTCATTACTTGCTTTGCTATAATCAGTTCCCTTCTAGCCATCGATAAAGTGGGAAAAAGGTTGTGAGGCAATATTTAAAGGCAAAATTAGGATCTTCTAGGATTCACTGGCTGCATTGTAGGCTTTAAACACACCAAGGCAATCATGAAGAGCAAAAGTCTTATAGGGCTAATACTTTGATAGATGGGGCTTTCATCCCGTGCATACCATACTCATGGGTTGTCCGCCCAGAATGTCAAGTGGACTCTTTACGACTTTGATTGTTCTTCTTGTATATACTAAAACATTAGCTTAGATTTTCTTTTGAATGTTTGACTATAACTTTTATTAGTAATCTGTTTGCTCTATTGTTTAGAATTTGATGTCGTAGTATATTTCTTTTTACATATAAGACTTTTTAACATTTATTGTTATGATGAGATGTTTATTTGCTTTTGTGTATTCTTTAGTTTTGAATTTTATAAAATTCTTAATGTATTTTTCACAATATCAAAATAAAAAAGTTAAGGGGCTTAGACCCTGCCTATGCCTCTAGTTTTAGAACATTGGATACAATGACCTAGCTTTCTTACCGGGGATGGTTGAGTTGTCCCCAATGGGAAAGTTGAGAGGTTGAGACAAGAATTAACAACCTAGAGATCCTGGTTCTGAATTTGAGTTACAAAACTTATTGTGAGCCCATTTGCTTTAGCCTTGGTGGATAGGTTTACCAGGCACCTATGCTTGTGGTCTGTAGCATACTACCCGATGAACTAGGTGAGATGCTCGCAAGTTTGCTCTGGTACTAGGGTAATCGAAAAAAGAGTGATATTCAGCCTTTTGATTTCTACGCTCTCATCTAAGTGAACTTTTATAGTTGCTATGAAGCAGTGGTAGAGCCACCTTAGTCCAATCACCGTGAATACACTGTGTAGTTAGGTAATTTTTTATTTATTTATGTATATACTATATGTTGAATCGCCTTGGCTTTTTCATGTGTTTAATTCTTTATATTTTGACTCGCCTTCGTGAAATTCTGGTTGTGCCACTGCTATGAAGTAGTTACTTAATATTGAAGGAAGGTGAGAGCAAGGGTAATTATGTTATTGCTTCTCAAAAAAGGGTAATTATTTTATTGTTGGAATGGTTTTTCTTTTCATACTTGTTATGGGGAAAAAGAAAATACTGCACAGATTATTTGAGTAGTTGATCAGCTGCATTTTCTTTTCTTTTGTGTTTTTCTTAAATGAGTAAGAGTAGTTGACCTGCTTGGCTATGTTTGGGAGAGCTGTCCTCTATTGTCAAGCTTAGTCTTGGAATTGGCAAGCTAGATTCTTGTGTCTTTGCTAATGTGACTAGATGTACGTAGTACAAATCGGTGACTGCTTTCTGATGTTAATGTTGGACAAACTGGTCCAGTGACCCATCTGAATATCTTATAAATGCTACTTGTCTCATTGATCCTTGAAGCATTCTTGTTTCTTAGAATTTCACCAATATGTTGTTTTGCAGAAAAAATGGTTTTGCTGTATGCAGAGCCCCCACGCAGAATCTTGACAAGGTTATCTGTAAAAGTTGAATATAGGATGCATATTCATAATGAACCCCGCAACTTCTTTTGGCTTGCTGCTGGAGACTGAGATGCCGCTTAAGTCCCTTTTGTCTTGTAAACTTGTGGTTATTGTGGGGACAAAAATGTGAAAGACAAAATGTTTGATGTATCTATAATGTTGTATCTTTTATTGTACCATTGACAGACGAGCAGTCTGCTTGCTTTCATATACGTGTGGTTTGTAAAGCAACTTTCAACCGTAATTTTTTCTGTTAATTTCATCAGATTATTTTGGTTTTCTTTTTTTTTTTCCTTCTGTTTTTGCCTGATAAGTTGAAAATGCTTAGAAAATCATGGAGGTTTGTTTGGACACGAGGAGCTGCATTCTAAATTATGATGCCTGTTTGCTTTTAGTCAAGGGAAAATAGCAGTTTTGGTCCTTGAAAATGCTTGCTCAAACAAGAATTCGACGATGTCTAAGGGAGTTTGATTGTTTATTTATTTGATAAAATTTAGGGATCTATTTGGGATGGCGTAATTTGCATAAAAGTTGATGATCCTTGGTCAAATTTGCTCTGTAATAAATAAATAGGTATATCCATTTAACTCGATAATCTTTTCATGTCCAATTCTACAACCCACTTGCTCTTAATTTTCCCTTCTTTCTTCGCTACGCTACAAGCACTACATTCGTATGTTAATACAAATTTCCCTGAATATTATTTTTATAACGGTGATATCTGGACTAGTTTGTGCGCATTTGAACTAGCACAGGTAAACGATCGCGTATGTCTTATTTCAGAATACTACAATTTGTGCATAGGACGACATAATATTCACGAAACAACGGAAATAAATGATGTACTGAGACCCATAAAGCTGATCGGCAAATTGCAGCAGGAATGTAAATTCAGGATCAAGCGTGCTCAATGTAACGATGTGACATGCAATAAAAAAAAAGATAATTTGACAGCATTTGGAAAAATCTCCAAAGTCAGGATAAATAATCTTTTTATGCTTTGTTCTTTCATTTAAAGTTATTGAGTCGTCAACACCAACTGCCCAACTAAATTCGAAAAAAAAGGACTTGTAATAACTTAATTTCTGGAGAAAATTGTTCATTCTAGTTTTTACACCACCTGTCTTGTGAAACGGAACCAGAAAGCCAATACATTTAAAATTGAAGGATTCTGCAGTTGAAATATCCTCTGCTCTCTCGAAAGCTAAACTCTGGACTGACCCAGCTTTCTTTCAAAAAGATGCTTTAGGAGGAAAACTTGCAGGATGCTAACACAAATGAGAGCAGAGGACTCGAACAAAGCTTTGTAGACTGCTCTTTTGCTCATTCCCTCGTTCACTGCATAAAATAGGAGATATATCACCGTGTTAGAAGAACAGCTTTGGATTATGTAAGACTATCATGATTCTGACAGAATTGCATATGTCATTACATTAAACTTGAGGTTCCAAGAGAAACACATAATATACCGAAAGAAATGATGTTCTCTTTTCATTAGTTAACAGAAAAGTGACACTTATGCATGTGAATATCCGAACTACTAAGTCGTGGATGTATAGGTCCTTAAACCAAAGAGCATGATCTCAGAAATGCCTAATTGGTTCAAATGTTACAACATGAGCAAATCACACCTACATTAATTCATAATGCGGGAGGTAGTTTAGCAAAATGAAAGAGCAACCTCGCACTTCTTTACCATTAATACCAAGATTTTGAGCTTAAGTGATCATGTGCTAATAGTCATGACCATTCACACATTCAAGATGAAGGAGGTACACATCCTCAAGCTTGTAAAATTGATCAACAAAAAACTGAAAATTAGATAGAAAATCCAAACTGAAACGATAACTGTGATTTCCCTGGATCTAAAAACTAACACTGTGAAAATAAAGTGAGGAAGATGGGAGAGGAGAATTATCTAACAGGAATATATGCTGAAGGGAAAAGACGATTCTTTTCAACTAGAAAAAACAGTAAGTGATCGATAAAATTGGTATTTACTGAATTGTAGGAGAATCATATAAGAAATATGCAAAAGCTTTATTTATACCTATTGCTTGCCGGTCTGTCTGGGCCTCTAGCCAATGCTGCTCAAATTGAATGTTGTATAAAGCTTCCTCTAGTTTCCCAATGTGCTCAAACAATGGCTTGAAATGCTCTGCAGCGTCATACTAAAAGGTAAGATCTCTAGTGCAAAGTACTCCAGAACGACAAAGTAAGATGACGCAAAGTAACACGCTAACCGTCTTTTGCATGCTCATCATGGTATACGAAGTGGGCCGCATGTAGGTCAAAGTCTATCGTTTCATGATAGGGTGATTTGTTGGTGAAACAGAAACGATAAACTCCTTCGTGGTGGGCCACAAACTCAGTCTTCTCACTAATTTTGTCACGAAAATCATGAATCTGTTCCCCAGAAGGCCCCTTCACCTAATTTCCACCAACATAGTGACATCAATTGAATAATCCATCAGATAATGGATGATAAAAGAAGACTTTTTCTCTACAAGAGAATTTAAAACATGGCTATGTAAGCCTCTCCTCTAGATAACACGAAGAACCCATCACGAAAAAGTAAAAAACTAAAACGAATTGACAAGAAAAGCTGACTGAAGTAATCCTTACGTGGATTAAAAAAAGGTTCATGAATTTACAGCTCCAAGATTCAAACTTTCTTGAATATGAACCCTTGGAATTCTAATTCTCATAGTTGCAACTCAGACCCCCCCACCCCACAAGAAAAAAAGGTAAAAAAAAAAAAAAGCGACTCCCCTTCCTCCTAACCACCACCAAAACCAAATTACAAGTGATGGTGTCCAGTGTTTGTGCATGAGAAAAGGATTGAAGCTGCAAATAACACAACAAGAGAGGAAAATAAAAGCAAAGAAAAGACAATGCCAGTTTCTCACGGACAATTCAAGCTTCTAATGAAGCTTAAAATCAAAGTCAACACAAATTTGATAAAAGCAAAACAACAAAGCTAGAATTTCAAACCACAATTGCATTATTAACAGTTCAGAATCATAGAATAATTAATCTGATGACTACTATAAGTCTATAACCCCTTTTATACCTAAAACACAGGCTAATTTTTTTTTAATTACAATCAACGAAAAATCACAAAAAAGAAGAACGTAAACATAAAATTACATAAGTATACAGACTAACGAAGAGAGAGAAAAAAAACACAAAAAAAGAGAGAATTGAGTAATATATACCACAAGATCAACACCCTCTTCACTGTAATGCCAAGAACCCTCTGATTTGATAACAACAAATGAAAAATGAACAGTTTCCCCCATTTCAACCTTATGGGAAAAACATTCTTCTCTGTCTATCACAAATCTAATCCCTAAAGCCCCTCTGGAACTCCATGCCACCACCAATAGCGCAATCAAGATCCAAACTTCTGATGACCCAATTCTCATCTGCGATCAACTATCAAATTTAATTTCACAAAAACAATCCAAATTAATAAATATCAAAAAAGAATTTTGGGAATTAGGGTTTACCGTTTCTTGGAAAGAATTAGGAATTTGGACAGCGAAGTGGTGAAAGAGTTGAAAACTATGTTTTGTCTTTGACGAAGTTAAGGTATACACGACTTTCCGTGTCTTAAAACTTCGATCAACTAATCCCGTACTTGTTGTATTCGGGTAATCGTATCCGAAGACCCGTATTTATTTATTTTCTTTTGAAAATCCCATAATTAGTTGGAATTTGGAAATTGGGAAGTCTTAACGGGTTGAGAATGAGTTCACACTTCACACTCTTCTTCTGATGATAAGTGCCACAATCGAATTGACTTGATGCAACAAAATAGGAGTTTTAATAAATTACTAGTTTATAAAAAAAAACTTCACAATATAAACTATAATATTACAAGTTCAAATATAATGTTTCTTTAATCTTTCTAATAACCCTTTACAGCTTGTTTGGATAGTTGTTATATGTTGTATTGTTTCGTATTGTTACTTTAAATATAATATTTATTTTGATTGTTACTTAAATTTTATTGTATCGTATCGTTTAAATCCGCCGTTAAAAGTGTCACTTTATGGAACGACCGATTTGGTGTGGTCGCGTCATTTTTTCTCTCATCTTGCCTTTTATTATTATTAAATAATCCTATTTATCCTTTTATCCTACCTTTTATATAATAATATTACCTCGTACCTTACTTTTTCTTTATAATATTGCAAATTTATTCTTCATATTATTGGTGCATGACATCGTGAAACGACGACAAACAATACAATCTAACCAAACATTGTATATATTAAAATGATATAAATACAATACAATACAATACTATATGATACATTACGAAATGATACATAGCAACCATCCAAACAATTAGAAGAAACGAATTACAATTCTTTCTTTACTTTTTTGTAAGGATTAAAATTGATATCTTTGATACTCTATTATCTAGTTTATGTCAAAAAACTAATAACTCAAAATTGATCATGTAAACTCGTTTAAGTCTAGTGAAAACAAGTGCTCCTATAAGGAAATTTAGTAAATCTAATCTTTTACGTAATATAATGGGATAATGCATAAATCCTCCTCGACCTATGATCATATTACCGACTACACACCTTTTTTTCAGGGGTCCTATTATCCCTTCGAACTATTTTAAATTAAAATTATTTACCTATTAAAAAGCTACAACCAAATGCGTGCAAAGTGGTGAAAATACATACACCTAAAATGTGTATTTCTTACTTAAAAACTTTTTTTACCGTTTTCTCCTTCTTACTTATTTTCCAATTTATAGATTTTCATTACCATATCCAGCCAAAAGGCAAAAGCCTCATTTGATGGGTTTTATATAATACTTGTTTGATATTGTCAGATCTGGTCGGAGAACGAAACTCCGACGAAGACCCTTGCTCCGGCGAAACTCCGTTGTTGTTTACCGTTTTGACTGTTCGTAGGTTCTTACTGAATCATGATCGTTGCTCCCTCTAGTTGTAGCTCTGTTTCTGTTATTAAACATATCTGTTTTTGATTTCTGAGTTGATTTTGTGTTGTATTGGATTTTCGCTCTGACATTTTGCCGTTGAAACGATGTCCCCCTTGTCTGTGCGAAAAGAGGTTTAGAAGACAAAAGAGACTAATTAATTAGATGTAATTAACTATGTAATGTCCAATCAAAAGATGATACTTGTACTTGTTAATCAATTTTAAAATTATTTTGTAACTTCCACTTGCCCTTAAGAGAGTGTGCACACTCTCTATGCCAAGTCAGCAATAAGGGTG